AAAGCAGAAACAAGACTGGGAAGGAAGGGGAAGGGGAAGGAGAAGAAAGGGAAGAAAAGAATATGGTCAAAATACATGATATACTTGAAAGAAATTATCTTCATGAAGCTTATTTCTATGTCCAATGAATATACACCAATAAACATTTTAATAAAAAAGAAATATTTTCTATTTTAAAAAGAAATTAACATTAATCCTCATGCTAACAGTAGCTACAATAGCTGGATTTTAAAAATAGATAATGGCTGGGCATGGTGGCACATGCCTTTAGTCACAGCACTCAGGAGGCAGAGGCAGGCTGATCTCTGTGCGTTCAAGGCCAGCCTAGTCTACATAGTGAGTTCCAGGCCAGCTGGGGCTACTGGGGAGACCCTGTCTCAAAAATGACCAAAAAAAAATAGATAATGACTGAAGGCTTCTGAGAGTAATTGAGGTAATAAACAAATAAATTGAATATCTAATGCTTATAGATTAGAAGATGCAATATCATTACGATGTCAATACTACACAAACATGAATAGTTTTAATATAGTCTATCAAAAGCCAAATAAGATTTTTTTGTAAAAACAGAAAAAAATTGTATGGAAGCCTGGCTTGTTGGTACATATCTATATTGCCAGTACTTGATAGGCTGAGGCAGAAGGATTACAAGTTCTGGGCTTGCCTGGGCAATGAAATGAGTTCTTGGCCAAGCTGAGCTATGTCGTGAGACCCTTTTAAAAACATTTAAAATATAAAATAAAATTCATGTGGAAAATTAAGGGACTCCACCCAAAGTGGTCAAGACAATCTTGGAAATGTAAACCTCACCCACCCAGGTCACAGGGACCAATTGAGGAAGAGGAGGATGGAAAGATTTTAAGAGCCAGGGTAGTACAAGACCATAAGGAAACAGTCTTCTAGGCTTCTGAGAACTTGTTCATATGAACCTATAGCAGTTGTGACAGCATGCACGAGACCCATTCAAACCAGACAAAAACCAGCATAGAGCTGGGGAAATGGGTAAGAAGCCTCAACCTTGGCTCAGGAACTACTGGCAGCTGATCACTGCTGGATGACGGAGAGTCGATCATCTTTAAGGGAATGATTCTAGATAGGCTGAACAGGTTCCAGTGAATGAATTCACACTGAGGGAATATCTTGGCAAAGAAGCTTGACTTGGTAGGCTTTATCATATATGACAGAATGCATGAAATCCTGTGGGCAAGCTATGGGGAGTGTGCAGGTGGGGTGTATAAATATGATTAAGATGTATCATATGAAATGCACAAAAATTCAGTAAAAATATAAATTGAAAAAAAAGAAAGAAAATGAGGAACCAAACTGGAAGACTCATACTTCTAATTTCAAATCCTACTATAAGGCTACAGTAATCCAAACAATATGTCTAAAGCCAAGCATAGAACAATGGACTAGAATGGAGAACCTAGAAATAAAACTTTGCGTATATGGTCAGATGACCCTCAATAAGCATGCATTCAATAGAGAAAGGACAATCTTCAACACATAATGCTGGGAAAACTACATGTCCACATACAAAAAGTGACGTTGAATGCTTCACTAACGTTGTGCACAACCAAATAAGTCAGTGCACAAACAAGTAATTCAAAATACATTAAGGACGAAATACAAAACCTAAACTTACAAAATTCTTAGACAAAAACAGGAAATGATTTTTGCCATTGGGTTTGACAGGGATTTCTTGATTGGGTATACCAAAAACAGCAGCAACAAAAGGAAAACATAGAGAAATTCAACTTCATCAAAATGAAACCTATATGCCTCAAAGAATGCCATCAAGAAAATGAAAAGGCAACTTTATAGAATTGGAGAAAATATTTAAAAAGAAGATATAATAAGGGATTAATATCCAGAAAATTGTAAGAACTACAATTTTATAATAACAAATAACAATCAGACAGTCAAAAATGAGCAGAAATCTTAAATAGACATTTCTTCAGGGCTGGCAAGATGGCTCAACAGGTAAAAGTGCTGGCTCTGCAAGCCTGGCAACCTGAGTTGAAGCCTCAGAACCCATGTAAAGGAAGAGGGAACTGACTTCGCAAAGTTGTCCTCTGATGTACACACGTGCTATGGCACATAGCACACACACACACACACTGAATAAAAAGGTAAAAGGGGTGCTGGAGAGATGCCTCAGTGGTTAAGAACGCTAGCTGCTCTTGCAAGAGGGTCTGCATTCAATTCCTAGCACCCATAAGGTGGCTAACAGCCATCCATAACTCCAGTTCCAGAGGAATCCAATGCTTTCTTCTGACCTTCGTGGGCATTGTACAACATGGGTGGACTTACATACATGCAGGCAATACATTAATACACATAAAATAAAAATAATAAAATAATTTTTTAAAAAGTAAAAGGGGGTGCTAGAGAGAGAGCTCAGCAGTTCTCAGCATTTACCACTCTTCCAAAGGACCCAGGTTTGGTTCTCAGCACCCACGTGGTGGCTAACAAACATGGATCCTCTTCTGGCCTCTGTAGGCACTGCATACACATGATGCACCTACATAATGCAGCCAAAGCTCACATAAAATTTAAGAAATAGATAAAATACATTTTTAAATGATATTTTCTTCTAAAAAGATATACACATAGTTAATAATTAGATGGAAATACTCAATATCTCTGATCACTAGTTGACTATAAATCAAACTCACAGTAAGATAAAACTTTATATTTATTGTGATGACTGTTGAAGATTTGCATAAACTAAGACCCCTGTGAACTGATGGAGGGAATGCAAAATGGAGCATTTGCTGGATATAACTAGATGGTAGTTCCTTAAAAAATTAAACATAGAATTGCTATATGATTGAGGGAGTTTCATTTCTATGTGTATGCCCAAAGGGAATGAAATGAGGAAGTTGAATAGACATGTTCTGCACTATTGTACAGTATTGTTCACAGTAGCCAAAAGGTGAGAATAAGCTAAATAACCATCAACAAATGGATTGGAAAGCAAAAGATGGTATATACACAGGATAGAATAGTGTGTGACCTTAAAAAGGAAGGAAATTCTGGGGTTGGAGAGATGGCTCGATGGTTAAGAGAAATGGCTGTTCTTGCAGAGGACCCGATTCAGTTCCCAGCACCCACGTGACAGCTAAAAATCATCAGTAACTCCAGTTCCAGGGGACCTGACACCCTCTTCTGGGACGTTGCACGCATGGATACACTTATATACATGCAAGCAAAATACTCATATACATTTGAAGATAAATCAAAAAAGTAAAAGGGAAGGAAATTCTAATAGACATTATAACATTTATAAACCTTGAAGACATTACTAAACGAAATAAGCCAGTTATAAAAGGACAAATTTTTTATGGCACTAGTTAATATGGGGTATTTTGAATAGTCAAATTCATAGAGAAAGTAGAAGGTGATTGTCAGAGACTAGGAGAAGGAAGGCATGGGAACTGATTGTTTAATATATAGAGCATTTCTGTTTGGGAAGATTAAATAATTCTGGAGATGTGGCTAGTGGAGGCATTTTACACAATGATGTTAATGAGTTAAAGTAACTGGACTATACTCCTAAAATTATTAAAATGATAAATTTTATGTTATACATATTTTACTGTGAAAAAAAAGAAACTAACAGGGGCCAGTAAAATGACTGAGAACGTAAAAGTGCTTGCCACACAAGACTGATGACCTGAGTTTGATTCCTGAAACCCACAGTAGAAGAAGAGAACCAACTCCCCCAAATTGTCCTCTGAACTCCATACATGCGTCATGTCGTGTGTGTGCCTGCACTCACACATACACACACACATTATATATAATAATAAATAAAAAGAATAAAATAAAAAATTTTTAAAGATACTAACAAGAAGAATCTGTGAATAAACCTAGTTTTGATATTAACCTCATAAAATATGTGCTTTATTCAGTGGAACCTGGAATATGACCAAGGCCTTGACCATTCTCTGATTCTGGTTTCCTACAAGTTGAAGCAACTCTAAAAATGTAACATGTGTAGCGGTTGGAGGTTGGCTCAGTTGGTAAATCACCAACTATTTCTGATCCCCAGAACCTACATGAAAATGTCTAGCATAGTGATGCACACTTACAATCCCCACATAAGGGGTGCAGAGACAGGAGGATCCTGGGACTCACTGGCCAGCCAGTTTAGCCTAATTGATTCAGGCCCATGAGACTCCATCTCAAAAAAGTGAATGGAGTTTCCTGAGGATGACACCTGATGTCCTGTGGACTGCACACATACCTGCACACATGTGTCCACACACATGAGCATGCACATATACATGCATGCACATGTATGAAAATGTAGCATATCTGATAAGGACAACACTTAGTATAAAGGAGAGTCAAAAATCAAATACTCATGGGACCTGAAGAGATGGCTCAGTGGTTAAGAGCACTGACTGCTCTTGCAGAGGACCTAGGTTCGATTCCCAGCACCCACATGATGGCTAACATCCGACTCCAGTTCCAGGGGATCCAGTGCCCTCTTCTGACCTCCACAGGCATTGCATGACACACGTGCACTTACACAGATACAGGCAATACACTCATACACATAAAATAAAAATAAAAAATAAAATATTTTAAAAATCATATAATCATGAAAATATGTTGTACCAAATAAAAGTTAGTAGGGGTTCTGACAGTACTGACATGAAAGGACATTCAATGTGTCTGGGAGGAAAAAAGTTTTAAAACAATATGTGTAGTGTTGTCCTTTGTTTCACAGGGAAAAATGTATTTCAGTGAATGAATCATTTCCTCATTGTAAGAGATACTGACTCAATAAAAGAAATTCAACTATATTTAATATAGATATCAATTATAAGATAGATCCCAATTTTAGAAAGCTAAGCTGTAAGAAGACATCTTAAACTCAAAGAAATGAGGCGGATTATGTGTGTGGATCTGTCTATAGACTGGGTAAAGAAATACTGCTCTGCCTTGTGCACTAAGAACATTCTGACCATTTCTCAATTCTGTATCAGGATGCAATAGTAGAATGAAACTCAGCGGACGACCCTACAGACTCATGGGAGTGCTTGGAACATCCAAACTGTATGACATTCGGAAAACTATCTTTACTTTCACTCCACAGGTGGGTGAAAAAACTGCAGCATGCATTGAGGTGAATGGGTACAAGCAAGAGGGGGAGTGATTGCAGAAAGAAAGGATTTGCTGGAATTGGAGTAGTCAGAGTTCCACAGGGTTGTGCATGTATTAAGTGACTCAGTAAATACTCATTGAGTTGAACTGAATTGAACTTGCAGCACAGGGCTTTGCCAAGTGATTGCAACTCTTAAGAGTAGTCCTGGCTGTTACAGAAACTATGACTAAGGATTTTCAAAATGTTAGAATACTTACAAAGTTCCCCTTATTTTTAAAAGTTAAACTAAGACTACTTGTCTTTTTTAAGTAAAACAAAAATTTGTCTTATTCTTCTACTAAATCATGTGTTTTCTTGGGGTAGGAGCCCTTTCATTTGATTAGAGATCTTCAGTATCTGCCCCAAAACAAGAACATTAAGAGTCTTAAACCATAATTACACATATTGGCAGCGTAACATTTGCTAGCTGCGTAGTAATAGAAAGCAAGCTCAACTACATATGTGTATGGTACGAGAAATTATTTTCTGCAAAGGGAGCTAGACATGGTGTCACACACCTGTAATCCCAGCCCTTAGGAAGGTGAGGGAAGATAATTGTGAGTCTAAGGCTAGCCTGGGCTACATAGTGAGTAGTGTCAGCATGAGCTACATAGCAATATTCTGTCTAAACCAAGGGCTGAGGATGGAGCTTAGTGGTAGAGTACTTGTTTAACATACTCAAGGCCATGGGCTTGAACTCTAGCACCACAATAAATATTTTCTAGAAAGAAAATTTAAATTCCTCATTTTTCATATCAAAAATAGTGTGACTGGGGCCTGGGGGGATGGCTCAGCAGTTAAGAGCACTTGCAAAGGACCTAGATTTGGTTCCCAGTACCCACATGGTGGCTTACAACCATCTATAACTCCAGTTCCAGGGGATCTGATAACCTTTTCTGCCTCCACAGACACTGAATGCACATGGGACACTCATGTACATGTGGAAAAAACACTCATACACATAAAACTTGAAAAAAGAAATTATTTTAAAAATAAAAAGTGAGACTGAGGTAGGCACAGACCAAAGAGTAATTGATCCTAGACTCTATTTCTGGCTTTGCTGTTTATAAGCTAGATGTGTTTGCTAGTCCACATGTTGTGCCTGAGACTTATTCTTATTGAAAGAAAAAAAAGCAAACTAGGAGTGGTGCTACACACTTGTAATCCCTCGGGAACTATGAGGTAGGAGAGTTGTGAGTTCAAGTTAGCCTGAGCTACATAATGAGAAACGGTCTCAAAAAAAAAAAGGAGGGGGAGGCAAGAAGGGAGGAAGAGGATTAAGTAGAAGTATATACTTGAAGAGATTTGTGGGGCAGTCACACTTAAAAATATTGGAAACTATTATTATGCATACCATTGACCACTACATATTTTGGGAGGTAGTAGGCATCAAATATGAGAGTGTTGTTGCCTCTGTGACATTTATACCCTTGTATATGTGTATGTGAGCACTTAAAAATGTTGATATTTGTGAGAGATTTTTCTGAATATTTTTCTCTTTCTCAGTTTATAGACCAGCAACAATTCTACCTGGCTCTGGACAACAAGATGATAGTAGAAATGCTCAGAACAGATCTTTCCTACCTCTGTAGCCGCTGGAGGATGACAGGCCAGCCTACCATTACCTTCCCTGTTTCACACACCATGCTTGGTAAGGGCTTATGAAGCACAGAATGAGCACACTTTTGAAATAAGGCGTATGTTTTGTCCTTCAGCATCCCACTGGCAAACTATTTCTTATGCTTATTCTGTCATCAGTACTTTCCAGCTTACCCTTTGTGCCAGGCACTTTTCTAAGCTCTGGGGACACATGAGGTGATAGGCAGGTAAAGTTTCTGCTCTATTTAAGCTTATGTTTTTGAAAGTGAAGACAGATAATAAACATAAAACAAACAGATGTACAAGAATATTTCAAATGGTTTGAGAGTCAATTTTCAGATAATGTGTTCATATAACTCTTTTGAAAGATAGTAATAATGCATCTTGCATCTGTTTTATTCCGGTGGAACATCAAGATTTATATATATAAGTTGCTGTCTCCTTCCATAGCCCATCTTACTGAAGCAGTAAAATCTAGAAGGGGAAAAGTGCAAAAGCTTCTGGTTTATATTTTGGTGGAGTGGAGGTAGGAACAGGGGTGCTTCCTGACCGGGAAAGGCTTTTTGTTTTCTCAGTTCCTGGAGGACTCGAGCCAATACTGAGTCTGTTGCTTTCTTTCTGTGTCTCTGTTGTTGCTTCCAAGGGTCTTTTTGTACTGCCAAAATACATAAAATTTCTTTTCATCTAAAAAGAATCCTTTATCATAAATCATTCAAAATGGGTTCATAGCAATCCAGACAGAATGCTAGGAATTTTTGTCACATATCAAAAGAGCTTCAGACTAACAGGAACTGGGGAAGTAGGGTAGTTGTTCTTTTTTCTTTCTTCCTTATTTAGGATGATTAAAAAGAACCCATGTAATAATTAATATATTCCCACAGTTGTCTTTTGATAATATAAACTTTAATCGAAAAGGCAAAGTTAATAGAAAACAATTTAAGACAGTATATTAAGAAGTACTAAACCACTAAAAGTTATCAGGTTGTCAAAGAAAAAACGTCAACTGATGTGAGACTTTGGCTTTTTGAATTGTTAATATTCAGAAAGGAAGAGGGACGAAGAATGAGAATCTTAAGTGATGGGGGAAATGCCATGAGTGAGGCCTGGAGAGAGGAATGAGCTTGTATGTGAGGCTGGTGAAGAGAACATCCTGAATAGAGTGGACTTTGCAACGGAGTATTACTATAAACAAACTGGGAAAGTAAGGTAGGATCAGATTATCAAGACTTCTTTGAAAATAAAAAGAGATATTAAAAAAAAAATTTTCTCATAAGTTGAAACTCTCAAAAGATTTTGAGTGACATGATGCAAGTAATGTTTAGGGAGTATTGGATGATGACAGTATGCATATTAGTGAGAAAAGACATGATATCAAGAAAAATAATGCACATATGCGGTGAGGAGGAGAGACACTGGATTGATAGTATTAAAAATAGAGGAAAGATGATATAAGAGCCATTTTATTTTGTTTCATTTTCCTTTTCTTTTTTCTGTCTTTTGAGACAGAGTCTCATTCTGTAGCCCACGCTGGCCTGGAACTCACTATATAACCTAAGTGAACTCAAAGCAATCCTCCTGTGTCAGCCTCCAAAATTCTGGGATTATGGGCATCAATCACCATGGCCAGCTATTTTTTTTCATTTGTTTATTCTTGTTTTGTTTTGTTGTTTGTTACATTTATTTATTTGTTTGTCTATGTGTGTTTGTGTGCATGTGTGTGCACACATATGCATACCATGATACTTGTGCGGAGATCAGAGGACAGTTTGCAAGAGTTGGTTCTCTATCTACACCATGTGAGTTCCAAGGATCAAACTTGAGTCATCAAGCTTGGCAGCAAGCCCCTTTACCCACTGAGCCATTTCACTGGCCCTCTTTGATTTTTGAGACTGGGTGTCCTGTAGCCCAGGCTGGCCTCAAGCTAGTTATATAGCTAAGGATGGTCTTGAACTACTGATCCTGCTTCTACCTCCCAAGTGCTCAGATTACAGGCTTTTATTATTTTTTGTTCTTATTTGGTTTTGGTTTTGGACTGTGTGTGTGTGTGTGTGTGTGTGTGTGTGTGTGTTTATTGTTGGTGGTGCTGTTGTTGTTGTTGTTTTTGACAGGGTCTCCCTAGTCCCTGCTGGCCTAGAAGTCACTATGTAAACCAGCAGAGATCCCCGTCTTTGCCTCCCAAGGCCTGGGATTAAAGGCACACACTACCATGCCTGGCTGGTTTGGGTTTTAAAGCAAGGTCTCATTATGTAGCCCAGGCTGTTGTGGAACACATTACATAGCCCAGGCTGGCCTTGAACTCATGGTTCTTCTGCTTTTGTTTCCTGCGTGCTAGGAATACAGGCATGTACCACCATAAGATTCACAAGAGATGAATCAAGATGATCCTGGAGTTTAGAGAGGAGATATTATTTAGCCCATTCATGCTGCTAATAAATTTGTGCTACTGGTAATTTGTAAATATTTGCAATTTAATTATCATGGTTCTGGAGGCAGGTTTTGGGCCCAGGGGATCAAGTTTCTCTTCTCCTAATATAGCACATTATTGTTGCATCCACTGGAAAGGCACAAATAAATGTGGGTCCTCATATTGGTAGAAAGAACAGAGAAAATGCAAACTCATTTGCCTAAGTCTTTTACAATCCCATTCATGAAGGTGCTAATCTTAAAAATTAATCACATCCTAAAAGCACCTCTTAGTCCTATTACACTGGCAATTAAGTTTTAGCATATGTATTTTGAGGACTGTTTATATGGTAGCACTGAAGTAAGGATTCTTCCACTGATAGAAACAAAGTCAGTTTATAGGAAGGTGATCGCTGTTAAGGGGCGTACTGAGTTTGTGTTGATAAAAATAAGATTTCAACATTGGAATATGTAGCAGTTGGAATAAGATACATAGCCATTGCTTGGGAAGAAGAACAAAAACAAAGATGTGGATTTAGCAACTGAAACAGGAGCTGTGGAGATGCTCATCAATAAAGTGCTTGCTGCATAAGCCCAAGAACCTGAATTCATATCCCTAGAACCCAGGTAAAAAAGATGGGTGTCTCCTGCTTCCAGCTGGGCAAATTTAAACTTCTCATAAGTATATATTAGAACTAAAGAAGACAACAACCAAAGGTCATCTGAAATTGTGATTGGCTCACTGGCAATCCCATGGGAAAAAAATAGAGATTACTACTTGAGCATAAGAGATACTTGACAAAGGCTTGGGCTGAGTATGCTGTGGAATGGGCTTCCAAGGACCCATGTGGCTTCCTTACCACAGTTATTTTGGCCCTCTCTCCTCTGTTCATAGCTAGAGCAGTGTTGACCTGGAAGTTGGCCAAGATGATTGAAGCCAGGAAGAAAGAGCAAAAGAAGAAACAAAAAGATCAAGAAAATTTTGCAAAAGCTAAACAACTAAAAAAGGACTGAAGGAATGAACAGGCTCTGCAAATAGAGAAAAATCTTGGCGAATTAATCAGCTTTTGAACGACTTAACTAAGGTTTCATGATAGTAATATTTAGTAAATTAAATATGACCATATAGAAGAATCATGTTCTGATCTCAGTACTATAGTAATTTTAAGCTTGGAAATTGAAGGGTTTGGGTATCTACTGTCAGGAATTATAATTAGAATTTATTATACAGGTGGAGCATTCCCAATTTGAACATCTAAAACCCATAGTGCTGTAAAATCTGACACCTGTGTGCAGACATGATGCCAGGAGTAGAAAATCCCACACTGAGCTTGTGATAGGTTGCAGTCGAAACACAGGTGCACTAAAAGTATATGAAGTTACCTTCAAGCTATATAATGAATTTTGTGGTTTAGACTTGGATACCATCTTCAAGGTATTATGCAGAAACTCTAAAACCTGAAAAAGAAGCATTTTAGTATGATCAGTCTGTACTAAAAATTCTTACCTGACAGTTATTTGCCATTTTGGAGCTTGTGTCCTCAAGTGCAAAACATTTCTGTGGAAAAAAATGGTTTTATATTATGAACCCCATTCAAATGGGGATTTAAGATAGGGTTAAAGTCTGGATAGAAGATTATAGGAATGTAAAATAATTACTCTCTGAGGTAAAAAGTTTACCTTAGTTCAAAAGAGATACAGTATATTAATCAAAATTTTAAAAGCATTATTGCTTATTTCTTGAAATAAAGCATTTGTAACTTTCTCAAAGGAAAATTATATTAATGAGCATGTCTACTTGCATTTTTCTTACTTTAGCCTTTGAGATAACTGTTACTTATGAAGACATTGTGCATTTTTAAACCTACTTGATAAAGGAGTCATTATCTTGACCATGTAGAACACCACCTGCTGGATGGGCTCATTTTTGTACTTCTGAATGCTGCCATTTTCTAAGAGGAGTTATGAGGAACATGATCTAAAGCTTGCAGTGAAAATGCCAAGTGCTTCCTTTGCTGACCAGAATGTGAAATAGTTAAATGTCTTATCAGATAATTTGCTTATTCTATAGAAACTACTTTTGTTTTTAATTAATATGGTATTGGTGTCCTGTTACTTTCTACTCATACAGGTTCAAAACGAAAAGTAAAATTTCACATTTGTGAAGTCATACTTTATAACTTATAGATCCTCAAAATTTTCAAAATTTTATCCAGTTCCATGTATCCATTTCAGGAACTGGATAAAATGGCAATAGAAATACAGCACCCCTAGAGGTGTGTCTCCTAGGTGATTCCAAATCTAGTCAAACTGTCAATGAAGTGCTAAAGGATCTTTCAGTGGTAAAACGAATTTTTGCCTATTAAACATGACCTTCCTTCCTTCCTTCCTTCCTTCCTTCCTTTCTTTGCTCCTTTCGTTCTGGTCTTTTTGAGGTAGGGTCTCCATGTAACCCCACCTGCCCTGGAACTTGCTATGTAGACCAGGCTGTCCTTAATCTGACAAAGATCTGCCTGCCTCTGCTTCCCGAGTGCAGGGACTAAAAGTTTGAGCCACCATGCCTAGCTTTAAACATGGTGTTTCTAAATGCATGGTCAATAACTTTTTTTTGCTGGAGTATTTAATTGCTTATTGATGTTTTCTGCACCTCTGGTAACAAATTTTAAGTTACAGTAGTTGTCCAATAGTCTTTTAAAAATATTTTATTTTTTAATTTTATGTTTATGAATGTATTGCCTGCATGTATGTAAGTGCACCTGTGTCATGCAATGCTTGCAGAGGTCAGAAAAGGGTGTGGAATCCCCTGGAACTGGAGTTATGGATGTTTGTTAGCCACCGTGTAGGTGTTGGGAATTGAAACCATGTCATCTGTGAGAGCAGCCAGTGCTCTTAACTGCTGAGCCATATCTCCAGCCCCCTAATAGTCTTAATGGAAAAAAATGAGGGAATGGAGAGATGGCTCAGTGGTTAAAAGCACTGACTGCTCTTGAAGAGGACAGAGGTTCAGTTCCCAGCACCTACCTGGTGTCTAACAACTGTTTGTAACCCAAGTTCCAGGGGATCTGATGTCTTCTTCTGACCTCCGTGGACATTGCATAACATGGGTGCACTTACACACATACAGGCAATACACTCATAACATAAAATTAAAAAAATATTTTTTTAAAAAAGAAACAAATGTTGAAATAATTTGCTACTCTTTTAATAAAGGGAAAATCTGGGTGTGGTAGCACACACCTGTAATCCTAGTGGACTTGAAGACAGAAATACAGAAATTACATATTCTGAATAATGTGTTATATATGTTTGATGTATAACATATTATCTAGGGGCTGGACAGATGGCTCAGAAGTTAAGAACACTGGTTGTTCTTGCAGAAGATCCAGGTTCAAATGCCAGCATCCACATGGCAGCTAACAACTGTCTGTAACTCAAGTCCCAAGTGATCTGACAGCCTCTTCTGACCTCCGTGGGCATTGCACGACATGGGTGCACTTACCTACATGCAGGCAATACACGCATACACATAATATAAATATAACAAAATTTTTTAATTGAATTTATATTATCTAGAGTAACCACTGATAAATATATAGAAGGGGGAAACAGGTATACCATGGAAACATGATTTTTAGACAAAGTCTGTCACTGAACCTTGTGCTCATCAATTGGCTAGACTGACTGACCAGCAAGCCCTCGCAATCCTTCTGTTTGTGGCCCTCCCAGAATGCTGGGGTTACTGATCTGAGCAACCATGCCTGGAGTTTTGCATGGATTTTAGGAATTTGAACTCAGGTCCTCATGCTTGCACAATAGGTGTTCTTCCCCATTAAGTATGTCCCAAGCCCCATAAACGTTAGTTTTTTTAAAAGCAAAAGTAGCAGGCTGGGGAAATGGCTCAGTGGTTAAGAGTATTTCCTGTTCTTCCAGAGGACCCGGGTTTGGTTCCCAGCACCCACCTGGCATTTCACAACTACCTGTAACTCCAGTTCAGGAGATTCGATGTCTTCTTCTGGCCTCCATGGGCAATTGCATTCATGTAGTGCACTTATAAACATGCAGGCAAAATACTTATACAAATAAATAAATAATAAATAAATAAAATTTAAAAAGGAAAGATGGGGATACTAATATCTGATAAGGTAGATGTTAGGAAAAAGAAAAATACAAATAAAACTGCAAAGAATGCAAAAGAAAGAACTAGCAATAGAAATGGAGAGAAATTTTTTAAAAATTAGAAAAGTCAAGTCTGGAAAGATGGCTCAGCAGTTAAGAACACTTGCTACTCTTTCAGAGAACCTGGGATTTGATACCTAGCACCCTTGTTGAATGTCTCATAACTACCTGTAACTCCAGTTCCAGGAGTTTTCACACCCTCCTCTGGCCTCTATGGGCACTGCACCCATGGTACACATACAGACAAGCAGGCACGCATGCATACATACACATAAATAAAAATAAAAGAATTTTTTTGCTAGAAAAGTTTACTTTTGTAAATCTAGACAAATTAACAAAATTTCTAAAAAAGTAAATAATATAAATGTAAGCTTAATGAAAAATATTCACAAACTATATAAGAAAAATCAACTTTGAAGAACATAAAATAACATTATAATTAGTAGACAGATATATCATATTTCCCAATGGAGACACTTAAGAGACTATGAATTCTCATTAAATATAGCTATCAAATCAATATAATTCCAAATAAAAATAAAAACATAAGGGGGCTGGAGAGATGGTTCAGTGGTTAAGAACATGTATTGCTTTTCCAGAGGACATGAGTTCAAGTCCCAGCACTCACGTCAGGCAGCTCACAACCAGCTCAAGGTGATCCAATGACTCTGAACTCCAGGGGCTCCAATACTCATGTGCATAGATTCACACACACACACACGGTTAAAAATAAATCTTTGAAAATTAAAATGAATATTTATGAAGAAGCTGACCCTAAATGTTTATATGGAATAAAAGTATAGATTAATGAAACTTTAAAAAGAGAAAATGTAGAAAAGATCCATCCATCACAATTAACATCAAGATAGATAGTGTTTTAAATAAAACCAAAAGTATACAAATAAATATATTTTTGAAAATAACTCACATAGGCTTTTTATTTTAGTTTTGTGCAAAAACCAAATCATCCAAGAAAGAAATCATAAAAAATAAAAATAACCCTATAAAAATATTTGAAGGAAACATGGGAGAATTTTTTACAATGTGTTTGTTGTTAAACATGAAAAAATTAGAAATGTGAAAATAAGAAATTTTAAATAAATCATATATAAAAAGCAGCAAAGGTGTAGTTGAAAGATAAATAATAAACTAGATAAAATACTTATCATGCATATGATAGACAAAATGGTAAATTTTCAAAATATAAAAATCTCTTGAAAGCCAGTTGAAAAATATGATAAACTAACTAATAGAAAAATGGGAAATGTTCTGAACAATAAATTCATAAAAGAAATATAAATGTCAGTAAATAAATGAAAACATACACAATTTTAGCAGCAGTAAAATTGTCTTCTTTTTTAACCTAACAGATAAAGAAAGATTATGAAAAGCAGTCATTTTCTGTACTGTTGCAGAAATATAATTGGCATGTTTGTAGTGGGCAGTCTCTGTAAATGGTTTTTTTAAATTATTTATTTAATAACCACACAATCAAAAGAAGCATTTCATTACAACAGCAATGACATATTCAATAACAATTTCCAGAGCTAAGATGCATCTCCTTCAAAATTGGCTGTAAATTTTTAGGTTTACGGTTGAATTAATACAGTTATACAATATTGTACTCAGTATAAACCCTATAAGACATAAAATTAAATGAGATTTTACACTTTAAAATGGACATAAATTAGCACAGGGCTATATGACCTCAGAGCTCATTCTCTGCACATCCTCTAGTGAGGTTCTGCCTCCCTAAAAGTCTACAACCTCTATATATCAGCTTATTACTAGTCACAGTCAGTTACTTTCTGAGCTCCCTGACATCTGAGCATGGATATAAAGTCATCAGGTAGATTTCAATGGTAATGTTTTTCATATCCACCAATTATTAAGGAGCAAATTTTTATGCATTGAAGAATTATTTTTTAAATTTTTTTAATTGATCAATTTATTTTTATGCCCACTTCCCAGATAGCACCCTCCGATGCCTCCATCCCCCGACTAGAGCCCTTACACTCTGATATCCCTGCTACTGTCTGCTGTGTTGTCAGCACCCCCAGCCATTCCCCACTACTTAGAGGTCTTTACTCAGCCTATCTAGAGGTCTTTGTTTTAGGAGGGTCAGCTATTTCTCTTCTAGCATCAAACAGTTGTCAATATTCCTTTAGATAAATTGGTACCTGCTGTTCATTTTCCCAGTTCTATGCTTGGTTACTATCTGGGAGTTCCTTTGGCCACCCTGGCCAAAAACTCAAAAGAAGGTATTGCCTGTCTGGCATTGTTGCTTGTTATGTAGCCTTTAGCTATACATGTGGACTCTTATGAAATTATATTGGCCCCTTTAATCTTTGGTTATAATTTCCTTTTGGGTGTTTAAGGCCATACAGTTTGGACCAGATAAACCGATTTATTTTTGCTCTTAAGGTTGTATGAGG